GAGAGGTTGGGGGGCCCCACCCACTCGGAGCCAGGCGGCTGCCAGACGCTCTCACGTGATTTTGGGTGATCACAGTCTCCTTCCCGACAGGTTATTATTGTCATCCCCATTTCGGAGTTGACCAGAGCTGCTTCAAGCATCAGCCGTCTAAGCTCTCAAAGCCAGAAACTGGAGAGCTGCAACCCCACCCAAGGGTTCCCCATTCTGGCTGCCTGCTTCATTCTAGGCCAGTGGCTCTCAAAGTCCCTCCAGGCCTGCCGCCCGCTGTCAGCCATCAGAGTAAACACGGCCAGGGGCCTCGTTACAAGTGCACATTCTCTGGGCCCATTTCACACTCGTGGAAGCAGAATTCTTGTGAGGAGAGATGGGAACACGGGTGAGGAGATTTGGGAACAGCCCCATAGATGGTTCTGGAGCATGCTCACGTCTGAGTACCCCTATACTGTGCTCCACGAATCGGTGAATCCAGCAAAGGCCCTCTTAATTGCCCAGTCTGGAACAAGACAGCCTGGGTTCCAGTCTTAGCCCTGGCGCTAGCTGTGTGACTTGGGCAAGCCGCTTAACTTCTCCAGGCCTCAGTGTTCTCGTGTGTAAATCTGGGATAGTAACGCCGTCTCGTCGGCCATGGTGAAGAGCAAATGGGATCAGCTGTATGGCAGCTCCACGCATGGTGCCCAGAGCATAGGCAGTCTCAGCAAATGTGCTTGTATCCTGAGACCCCCTGGGGGCAGCGCCATCGTGGGCACTCGGGGTGCAGGGCTAAGCAGCAGACCCGCAAGGACTCACATCCTTGTACTCCAGGAGCCCCTCCCAACTCCAAGGGAACCCATGTGCATCGGGGAATAGCTCTGCCTGGGCCAGCAGGTCATTTCCTAGCTCTGCCACTTCCTGGCTGTGTGACTTTGGGTATGTGACTGGCTTGCTCATGTGTGCAACGTGTGTTAATAATCTCTGCCCAGGGCCAGCCCCGCAGCCTAGGGGTTAAGGGAGCCAGATTCCATGGTTCAAATCCCAGCCCTGATGGCTTAAAACATGCTGGGAAGGAGAAATGGAGGAGACAGAATTGCAGCATGACCATGACCATGCCCACTGGGGGTTACTTTCTCCCTCTCCCCTTCTCTCTGTCTCTTTGTCTCTCTAGTGAGGGTGCACACCCTCTGGAAATTAAAAAATAATAATAATGATCATCTCTGGCCCCAGTGACTATAGTGATAGTGAAAACTAACCTGTGTTAAACTCCTAACCCACGGCAGGGCTGTTCTCGCCAGCCCTAGAGGTGGTTTTCTGATCTCCATTCTAAGACGGAGACACAGAGGGGCAGTAACCTGCCGGGTCACACGGAGGCAAAGGCAGGCAGGCCATCCCCAGAGCCACGGTCTCCTGGACCTTGCTGTCTCAGCATGGAAACCGAATTCACAACGTGGTAAGGAAGGGTGCTTCGTAACTCAACGAAGCAGAAAGTGCAATAGCCACTGTCCCCTCTCGAGAGCAAGTGCCATCTTTCGCCCTGGCATTGCCTACCTACCAAAGAAGCGGTGCCCTCCCTGTGTAGAGACGGGGTGACAGACTGAGCAGGGTCTCGGCCCCAGAGAGATGCAAACCCCGGTCTGTGCAAAGGCCCAGAACTGTCCTTCCCTCCCACTCCTGCCCAAGGTGCCCTGGCCTCACCTTGCCAGCAGGGACACTCCGCGGTGGTGGTTCTCTGCCTGTCCCATAAGCTCCCAGCCACCCTGGTCCTCCAGGAAGGTGGCCTCATAAGAACAGCCCATCTTCAGCAGCAGGGTTTTCACCACTTTCACCACCCAGCTGCCAAGACAAGGGGGCTGAGACGTAGTGTCCACCTGCACCTGGCCAGCCCGCCTCCCTAACCTGTCCCCTCCCGCCATTGGCTGCCACTTGGCCTACAAGCTTCCTTCTACCCTGGCAAGTATTGGACACCAAAGGGTGGCTTTTACTAACACTTAGCTTTGAGAACAAGAGAGGAAACAGAAGCAAAATTCAACTCCCTCTGAGAGGGTGCTTTTCCCCTCCCTTTTGTCCTGAGCCCCCTTTACTGGAGGAAGAGGTTGAGGGGCCTCCCTAGCCTCACCCTCCTCTCCACCACGCACTGGGCAGGCTTCCTCTGCTTTTGGTTGCTCAGTGCCCTGCCCAGACCCAAGTCCTTCCTTGACTTGGGGCATTTACGAGGGGACTCCCTTGGGCCAGCAGGTGTCAAGGGAGGTTAAGGCAGCCGGATCTCACATGGCCCATTGTGCAGTTTGAGTCCCAGACCCAGCAGCAGCTTGGAAAACACACTTGGGCGCATGTGTCCGTGTGCCTGAAATCCAGGATTTGCAGCATGACCATCTCCTGGGGGGTGCTTTCTCACTTTGCCTTTCTGTCTCTCTCTTGCAAGTGCACACACTCTATAACAAACTGTGTGTGGGGGGGGAGCCTGTAAAAGACTCTGGAACTGTCTGCACAGCCAAAGCCCTCAGGGAGCTTCTCCGGCCTGCAGACTGACCAGGCCAGGGCTCAGGCCTGGGCCTGCTAAACCTCCGAGTGGTCACAGAAGCCCCGGGACGGGACACCATCGGGTGACACCCTAGCTGTGCTAGCCTGGCCCTGTGCTCACAGATAGACGTGCGTGAGCTTTTATGAACATCAAAGCTGACCCTGTTGGATGAAGTTTACATTTAAGCCAGGCTGGATCCCGGTGCTTATCCCCACACCCCAGGTGACACAGAGCAGAAGGTTCTCCGGATGCAGGACTAGGCCTCTCAGAAATCAGGTAATCCTCGGGAATCTGCTCTTAATTTTCCCGTTTTTGCTTTTGTAATGAATATTGATCCAGTGTGAAAAGGAAAGCCTGGGGGGGGGGCAGGGCTTTCGGCAGCATTCAGCCTTTGTGCTGATTCTTTGAAATGTGCGTTGTAGTGAGAGGCCCCTACCAGCAATGCCTCAGGCCTTCAAGTTACAAAAAAAGGAAGGGGGAAGAGAGAGGCAGGCTCCAGACCTGTGGGCTCTCCAGCTCCACCCTGATGCCTCTGCCCTGAAACACGAGCTGGCTTCCAGCTGAGCTGAGATTCAGAGGCCTGGGTGTGGACAAGAAAGGGTATTCTCTTCCCTGCAAGGACTAGAACCACCGGAGACAGAACAAGCCACGTGGGTATGCAGCTCCTGTGACTTGTCCGCCCGTGTGCACGTCCTCAACTCTAGGGGCAGTTTTGGTCACCTTCTCACACACTGGCTTGGGGACAGCATCGCACCTGGAGCTCTGGAGGCATCGACTTGGCAGGGTTTCAGAAGGTCATGGCTCTGCCAGACCATCTCAGTCCCTGCCTAGGCAGCCGTGGCGACTCTGTATGTAGGCCGGCGCTCCGAACACGGATGCATTCTTCCCGGTTTGTCCTCTCCATAATGTTGCCTTACTGCCTCAGTCAGGGTGACTTACGGCAACAAAACCGTGTTCTTTCACAGTTGGCAAGGCCGGAGATCCAGGGTCAGTACGACCTAGGCCACACTCCCTGAGGACAGGTCCAGGGTTGCTATGTCCGGAGGCCACAATCCCTGAGGACAGGTCCGGGTCGTACATACACAGGCCTCACTCCCTGAGGACAGGTCAGTACATTCGCAGGCTGCACTCCCTGAGGACTCAAGGGAAGACTCCTTTTTGCCTTCTGCAGCTTACAGTGGCTCCTGGTGCTCTTTGGCTTGCGACAGCACCCCTTGCTCTCTGCCTCCTGTGTCTGCTTCTCCTCTTTATTGTTATTGTTGTAGACAGGGTTCCCTTCCCTTGGGATCCTCCTATCTCAGTCTCCTGAATAGCTGGGACTACAGGCACATGCCACCACACCCGGTTTTCTAGGGTGGGTAGGGAATCAAACCCAGACCTCCCGTGTGGCCTCAGCCTACAAAGCAGCAGCATCCAATCTTACTTGGTCCTCAAAACACACCCGTGGGGCGGGGTGAGGGGGACCAGTAGTTAGCGTAATGGCTATGTCGCTGGACTCCCACGTAGTTGACCGCGGTTCACGTCCCAGATCCGGTGGCTTAAAACTCACACTGGGTGCGTGTGCGTGCGTGCCCAAGATCCCTAGAGGAGAAGGAAGGAGAAGGGATTGCGGCATGGCCATCCCCCCTGGAGGGTGATATCTCGCTTTCTGTCTCTCTTTCTCTCTGTCTGTCTGGCAAGCGCGCGCGCCCTATAGCAAAAACCTCTTAAACACACATACACACACACACACCCGGGGGGCAGGAATCGCGTACCCATTTCCTAGGCAAGGAACCAATTACCAAGAGGTTAGATTAGTTTACCCAAAGTCCAGAACAACAGTGACAGAGCTGAATCTGACATGGTCTGACTTCAAGCCCAGGTATGCAACTGCTTGCCAACTACTCCCTTCAAATGCTCTTTTCTAAGTACAACACAAATAGGATTTTTAAAAAAGAGTAAAACTCGGCCACATAAAAATTTGCAATTTTAGGGGGCAGGTGGCAAGGTGGTTAAGGTGTTGGATCCCACGTGGCCGACAATTGGTTCAGGTCCTAGACCCAGCAGCTTGAAAATCATGTCAGACACATGTGCACGCAAAATCCAGAGAGGAGAATGGAGGAGAAGAGATTGAGTTGTGGCCATCTCCCCTGGGGGGGTGTGTGTGATTTCTTTTCCTCTCTTTGTCTCTCTCCAGTGAGTGCGCACACCCTATGGCAAAAACCTAAAACATTAATAAATAAATATATAAATTTGGAACCAGCAGATGGTGGAATGGTTGCATCACTGGACTCCCATGCAGTTGACCGCAGTTTGAGTCCCGGACCCAGCAGCTTAAAACTCACACCAGGCACAGGAACCAGCAGTTAGCGTAATGGCTATGTCGCTGGACTCCCACGTAGTCGACCGTGATCCCGAGAGGAGAATGGAGGAGAAGGGATTGCGGCGTGACCATCCCCCCTGGGGGGTGATTTCTAGCTTTCTGTCTCTCTGTCTCTGTCTCTCTGGCAAGGACACTCACCCTATAGCAAAAATCTCTCTCTCTAAAAATAAATAAAAATTTAAAATTTCAGAGTAACAAGAGACCCTGAAATAATTGTAGGTTAAGTGACAAACTGGAAAACAAATGACAGTCAAAGAGTTCATTACCTTAATAAAGAGCTCTTACAAATTAATCAATTAATTAACTTTAGAAAGTCCCCAACAGGCATGTATCAAAGGGGACATGGGACAAGAACAAGTTGCTCACGGACACGGAAACACAAACAGCATTTAAACCTCAGCCTCACCCATTGTAAGAGAAATGCAAACCAAAACCACAGCAAAATTCCATGTTTTCAGCTCTTAGATTGGCAAAGATCGAAATGTCCTGTAATACGTAGCGTGGGCAAGCATGCAGGGAAATGGGCACTCTCCGATGCTGCCTGTGGCAATGGCACGAGTGGCGAGCTGGCCTGGTGGGTGCTTTAGGAGCTGCCCCTTTTACTCTTCTTCCCCCACGGTCCAGACCTTTTGCATACATATCCCTGTCCTACTCTGAAGTGCCCGTGGTATTTTCAGGAATTCATCCTACAATACACGGTCACATGTGTGCAGAAAGCCATGTAGGAAAGCCACCTCGCGGCGGCAGCCTGTGTCATTTCAAAGAGCCAGAAAGTGCCTAACACGGGAGGGGGCTGCTTGAACAAACGGGTAGGCTGATGACTCCATACACAGGGTACTATGCGGCTATTAAACACAGTGAGGCTGTGGGACCCAGTGGCTTGACAATCACATCAGGCACATGTGCATGCAAGCCCAAAATCCCGAAAAGAGAATGGAGAAGGGATTGCTGCACGGCCATCCCCGAGCGGCGAGTTCTCACTTTCTCTCTCTCTCTCTCTCGCCTCTCTCTCATCTCCAGTGAGCACACGTGTCCCATGGCAAATAAATAAATAAATAAAGTGAGATGGGAGCCAGCCGGTGGCATGCTGGTTGGGACAACTGGATCCCCATGGCCTACTGCTCGGTTCACCTTTGACCGTGACTTAGCACGGCAAACCCGTGTGTGTTCATGCCCAAAATCCTGAGAGGAGGGACTGCGGCATGACCATCCCCTCCGGGGGTGTTTTCTCACTTTCCCTCTCTCTTTTTCTCTCTCTTTGGCAAGCGCACGCACCTTATAGCACATGTGTAAAATAATAGTGATGAAGAGGCAGTTCGGGATGTAATGATCTCCACGGTCCAGTGTGTGGTCGAAGCCAAAATGTATGCGAGGTCTTCAACAAGCTCATGCAAAGTGCACGCGATGAAAACACGGTGCACGGATTTCCTTTTTCCTTTTGCTTGCACCAGAAGAAACGTGTACTTGAACTTCATTTTTCTACAAACGTTTTAAAGTCCCTTCATTGACCTTTGTGAGTGTACCATAGGTTTAAAAAATAGAGAATAGCGGAACCAGCAGATGGCATAGCGGTTATGTTGCTGAACTCCCATGTGGCTGTCAGCATGTTTGAATCCTGGACCTGGGGGCTTGAAACCCACACCGGGCATGTGCACTCCTGGGGGACGTGGACACTTTCCCGAGTCCAGCATGGGCCCAGTGTCTGAGGCACAGAACCCAGGCTCACAGCTGCTGACTGAATTCTGGCTGTAATGAAATTGTGCTTCTGTTTTCTCGTCTAGTCGCAGAGCTCGTTTCTATTGGCTGATTGCCCTGAAGACCTTGGGAGGGGCCCTAGCTGTCCCCGCCCCACCCCACCCCCCAGCGACAGGGACAGCAGGGCCAAGAGAGCCGAAGAGCATACCGCACAGGCACGAAGACCGGGAGCGGCGCGTCCTTCTTGGCCTCCCGGCGAGGCGCCACGCGGCCCGGCAGGCTGAGACCGATGTGGTAGTGGACCTGAATGAGCAGGGCCAGGAGCAGCTGCGGGTAGATGCGCCTCACGCGGCCCACGCAGCTGTTGACCGACAGGAGCTCGCATAGGCCGCTGGCTGCCTGCGGGCAGAGAGGATGCTGGTGGGATGTCCAGGCCACCCTCCCAGCTCTTCTGGCTGGGACCTGGACTGCTTCTTTCCTTTTCTCTGGCTCAGCCTGGGAAAGCTTGGGTCCCCTGCCCATCCTGTGTGCACCCTGGAGCTCAGAACAGTGATAGCCTGCCTTGTAGCTTTAGCCTAAGGTTCAACGTTTATGCACCCCTGCAAATACTGTGATGGAAGGATCCCTTCTGGCAAGCTTGGGCAACTTCCCCACCTGCCAGTCACACTCTGGAGCTGGCCTGGGCCCACAGTCACACTTGGACTAGCCAGAGGACAATGCAGTGGTGGGAAGGGGTGGGGCAATGGGCTGGGCTCATGAGACCTAGGGCCTGTCCTGACCCCGCCACTCTCCCGTCCCTCTTTGGACCTCAGATTCATCCTGTACAAATCGGGGCTACCGACCCTCTTCCGGCAGGTGCAGTGGAGTTGGACCGGGAGGATGGAGGGGCAAGTACTTTAGCAATAAGAAAATGTGAAAGAATTGTGCCGCGAAGGTCCCATGCACCTGGGCCAATAGAAAAGCATTTCTCTGCAAAGTCAGAGAATCCTTGACACATGCCCTTGGTGACACATGGCTGGATGGGGACAATAAATGGCCGTGAATTTGCACTTCACAGCTTAGCAGCCTTCCCCATCCACGGTCATACTCTTCTCAGCAGGTAAGGCATGTGAAGCAGGGGTTACTCCTGCCCATCCCACAGATCCACATGCCAAGGCGAGAGGGGGCGGGACTGACCGTGGTTATGCAGCGAGGTGGGGGCAGAGCGAAGATGAGCCTCTTGGACTCTAAACTGCATGGGAGTGTGCATTTTTCAGTAACCCAATGCTAACAATTATACCCAAAGAAAATAGTCTCTAGTGAGGTGTCCCAGGGCTCTGCTCCTGACTCTGTCTTGCTCAAAGAATTTACTAGTACCGGGACCAGCAGTTAGCATAATGGCTGTGTCACTGGACTCCCATGTAGTCGACTGTGGTTCCAGTCCTGGACCTGGTGGCTTAAACTCACACCAGGTGCGTGTGCATGCATGCCCAAGATCCTGAGAGGAGAATGGAGGAGAAGGGATTGCAGCGTGGCCATCCCCCCTGGGGGGTGATTTCTCACTCTCTGTCTCTCTGTCTCCTTCTGTCTTTCTGGTGAGCATCGGCACCCTTATAGCAAAACCCTCTCAAAAAAAAAAAAAAAAAAGAACTTACTAGTACCATAAGATAATAATAATAATAAATAAAAATTTAAAACACTAATCCAGTATTGGGGCCAGCAGGTGGAATAGTAGTTAAGGCCCGGGACTCCCACATGGCTGACTGAAGTTCTAGTTCCAGGTCTAGGGACTTGAAACTCATGCCAGGCGGGTGTGCACACATGCCCAAAATCCCAGAAGGAGAATGGGAGGGATGATAGTGTGGCCTCTGGGGGGGGGGTGATTTCTCACTTTCCTTGTCTCTCTTTGGTGAGCGCATGTGCCCTATGGCAAAAACCTTAAAAAAAAAAAAAATTAGTCCAGGCTCTATCTGTGCTCAGTCTCTGCTTCTGCACGGAGAAGCAGGAACAAGTCATTGGAGAACACGCTGTCGGAGTAGATGAAAGTCCAAGTCAGGGAAGGTGCCTTATTCTTAGAACTCAGTGCTGGGCAAGAGAGGTAGAGAGAGAGATGAGGGTGAAGCCCAGGACCTGGAGGCAGAAGACCTGGGTTTGAGGCCCAGCACCACCACTCGCGAGCTGAGTGACCTTGGGTGAGACAGACTATTTCTAAGCGGCAGATCCTCCTCTGTAAGTGGGTCAATGTCAGCTACTCCCCCACTGACAATATCTTTGCTTGCTTCCCTCCACCAGAATTTCCTGCTGCTGAATCCTCAGAACCTATGAGTGTGCCTGGCACAGAGCAAGTGCTCGGTAGATATTTGTGGAATAAATAAATCCATCCAGGCCAGCTGGTGGTGTGGTGGCTAAGCAGCTGGATCCCACATGACAGACTCAGACGTTCAAGTCCCAGACCTGGTAGCTTCAAAACCACACCGGAACCTGTGAGTGCATGCACAAAATCCTGGGGGAGAGAACAGAGGAGAAGGGATTGTGGCATGACCCTCCCTCCTGGATGGGCTTTCTCACTTCCTCTCTCTCCTCTCTCTCCAGCAAGTGCACATGCCCTTTAGTAAATTTTTTAAAATAAAAAGTAAATGAATCCGACAGAACTTTCTGAGTGCCTACTACACGCCAGGTGTATGCTAGCTGTCAGGAAAGCATGGTGAGCATGACAGGACAGGCACTGACCTCATGCACCCCACAGATTAGCCACATGACCCCCGCATGCCTGTCAAATCACAGTCCAAGATGAAGTGTGAGATGCAAAGTGGAGTATGTATGGATTAGAGTAGGTCAGGGAGATCAGGGAGGGCTTCTCTGAGGAGGTGATGCTTGAGAGCTGAAAGGGGAAGACAACTTGGTAAAGAGCATTCTAGGTAGAAGTAACAGCATATGCAAAGGCCCTGGGACAGACAGCATGGATGTATGGCGTTCTGACACAGACCAGTGAGGCTACAGCAGAGCAAGCCAGAGGACCACAGGGTTTGGGGAGGCCAGAAAGGGGCTTGGTGCCCTGCAGCACGGGTGGTAGCACCGTGTGACTCTCACAGGCAATGAGAGGCCATTGAAGGGGCTAAGAAGAGCAGATTCCCCTTCTCAAAGCATGTCTGGCTGGGGCTCTGATGGGAGACGCAGGAGTGGAAGCAGGGAGATGGGTAGGGGTATTATCGGGCTAGTTGAGACTAGGGTGGTGGCGACAGATGCAGAGAGAAGCCTGTCCTCCAGCCAGCAGCTCTCCGAGTCGGAGCCACCTGTGTTCCAGGGCCCAGCTCTGAACCTGGCACTGTGACGCGCTTAAACTCCCACGTCACCTAGATGAATGAAGGGTGGTCTCACTCATCCTCGCAGCCGCCACGTGAGGCAGATTCATTTCCACTTGCAGGTGTGGACACTGAGCCTCCAAGAGGTGCCGTGACTTACCCAGGACCCCACACTGTAAGTAAAACCAGGCCCTGCCCACTGTCTACGACTGCAAGGTCCCGCATCTTCCCGGTCCCAGGCTGCAGCTGTCGTCACAGGTAGCACCGCTATCACACAGTGGATCACAGCAAGAGCCAGAGCTGGAGCCCTGCCCAAGGCCGCCAGAGTTACAGGCAGAGTCGGGCCCTGGAAGTCAGGTGCACAGAGCTGGGTGGGAGGGAAGGGGAGAGTGAGGATAGGGGGGTAGCTGGGTCCTCACCGCCAGGGGAACGATGGAGGCCCGGCCCTTCTTGGTGACAGGTTTCTCCTTCAGGCTGGTCAGGAGCAGATCTAGGAGGTCCCGCACATCGCAGCTGGGCTTGCGCAGTATCAGCTGCCGCCACATCT